TAGGTATTATAAATGATAAAGAATGCTATATAGATTTAAAATCGATTTTATTTTTGAAAATAGCCTTCTATGATCAAAAACCAAAAATGCTTTAAATTGCATTTTAAAACATATCTTGGTATTATAAATGATAAATAATGCTATATAAATTTAAAATCGATTTTTTTTGTTGAAAATAGCCTTCTATGATCAAAAACCAAAAATGCTTAAAATTGCATTTTAAAACATATCTAGGTATTATAAATGATAAATAATGCTAATATAGATTTAAAATCGATTTTTTTTTTGAAAATAGCCTACTATGATCAAAAACCAAAAATGCTTTAAATTGCATTTTAAAACATATCTAGGTATTAAAAATGATAAATAATGCTAATATAGATTTAAAATCGATTTTTTTTTTGAAAATAGCCTTCTATGATCAAAAACCAAAAATGCTTTAAATTGCATTTTAAAACATACCTAGGTATTATAATTGATAAAGAATGCTAATATAGATTTAAAATCGATTTTTTTTGAAAATAGCCTTCTATGATCAAAAACCAAAAATGCTTTAAATTGCATTTAAAACAGAGATCGAAGCCGCCGGTATTTAAGCCAGCGGCGGCTTAAATTTGGCTTAGATAAGCTGGATTTTTAAGCCGACTTATAAATCAGCTTATGCAAGTCGATTTTTAAGCTCGGCTTGGCTTCTTGTTCAATAATGCTCCACTTAAGGAGAAAGCATGTTCACAGAAAGAGGAAGTTACACTTAAGCCTAGCATGGTACGAGCTAAATTGTATAGGTTCGGGATATTTTGCTTATTTTGCTTCCAAAACAGTAAAATATCATCACTCCTAGAATATGACGAAGCAATCAGCATGTATCGGTCAATCTCATTTTCTATCATTCTTTCGCCAGCATCGAAACTATTAGAACTTTCTTCTGATTCAAGATCTTGAAGCATTTCCAGTCGAAGGCGCTTTGCAGGACCAATTTCTTGAGTGGCTGCATCAATAATTGAGTTTGAAACTGAAGCAGAACTATTCTAATGTTCTTTGACATTTAATTTTTGCATCATATCCAGAAGAATCTGCTTTATTGTCACGCTTTTGATTTCAAGCTGAGAAGCTACCACGTTAGATTTTAGCTGACCAGGGTCAAGAAAAGATGCAATAATCCATTCATTTTCGACTGACAACCTCTTCTCAAGAGATTGTATGGCCAAAAAATAAACGTCACTCAATACGGTTTCTTTATTTGCTAGAATCGTTAACCTGTATAAAATTCAATTTAAAAATATATGTTCAGAAAATCATAAGCGTGTAAAAATTCATTAATTTATAAAAGGGATTTCAAGTGGTATTCGAAGTTTGATGTCAGCAAGTGCAAGGGGATTTTTGGGATTATCACAGATTATAATTAAAAAATCTTTGACATTAATATTAATTTAATAAAGTTATATTTTGTTGACTAAAATACAGACATTATTTACTGACTTGATTTACTAATGATGAAAAAAATTTAAAAACAGATACGTTGCAAATATTCATCGGGCCTGGACGGATGTCAGAAATAGGCAATTTTCTCCATATTTCTGTTTTCCTTGACATTTGTCCAAACGTTTAATTATTACTCTCTATTGGTTGGCTTTTAAAATTTATTTAATTGTTTTGGAAACATAATTAAATGAATACAATAAAGTTTTGGAATTTTTAATGGTTTTGAAATTTTTAAATTTTTGATGTCGCGACTTGTTTGTTTGCAAAAAAACAAAATCAAATTTAAAAGAAATGAAAATATTTCTTAAAACTGAAGTGTAGGAGCTTATTAAAATAATTGGAATTGTTTCAATATCATATGTGTTCCTTATTAAATCCACAAATCTAATGTAAACTAGTTAAACAATCATGATTATATTAAATGAATTCTTGGTGATTTGATTTAAGATAGTGTTGGTAAAAAATTCAATTTTTTTTTCCGTTGAACAAAAATTAGTAAAAAATAATTTAAATTTTCATAAAACATTTTTACTTTACTGTTCATATTAAAATTGCTATTTTAAATGATCGGCTAAGTCAAGGCTTAAAAAATGGCTTAGATAAGCTGAATTTTAAGCTCGGCTTAGAGATCGGCTTACATAAGCCGACTTATAAATCAGCTTATGCAAGCTGGTTTAAGCCGCCGACTTAATCGGCTTCGAACTCTGATTTAAAACATATCTAGGTTTAAAAAATGATAAAGAATGCTAATATAGATTTAAAATCAATTTTTTGTTTTGAAATTAGCCTTCTATGATCAAAAACCAAAATTGCATTTTAAAACATATCTAGGTATTATAAATGATAAAGAATGCTAATACAGATTTAAAATCGATTTTTTTTTTGAAAATAGCCTTCTACGATCAAAAACCAAAAATGCTTTAAATTGCATTTTAAAACATATCTAGGTTTAAAAAATGATAAAGAATGCTAATAAAGATTTAAAAAGGATTTTTTTTTTTGAAAATAGCCTTCTATGATCTAAAACCAAAAATGCTTTAAATTGCATTTTAAAACATATCTAGGTATTATAAATGATAAAGAATGCTATATAGATTTAAAATCGATTTTTTTTTTGAAAATAGCCTTCTATGATCAAAAACCAAAAATGCTTTAAATTGCATTTTAAAACATACCTAGGTATTATAAATGATAAAGAATGCTATACAGATTTAAAATCGATTTTTTTTTTTGAAAATAGCCTTCTACGATCAAAAACCAAAAATGCTTTAAATTGCATTTTAAAACATATCTAGGTTTAAAAAATGATAAAGAATGCTAATAAAGATTTAAAAAGGATTTTTTTTTTTGAAAATAGCCTTCTATGATCTAAAACCAAAAATGCTTTAAATTGCATTTTAAAACATATCTAGGTATTATAAACGATAAATAATGCAAATATAGATTTAAAATCGATTTTTTTTGTTGAAAATAGCCTTCTATGATCAAAAACCAAAAATGCTTTAAATTGCATTTTAAAACATATCTAGGTATTATAAATGATAAAGAATAATATATAGATTTAAAATCGATTTTTTTTTTGAAAATAGCCTTCTACGATCAAAAACCAAAAATGCTTTAAATTGCATTTTAAAACATATCTAGGTTAAAAAAATGATAAAGAATGCTAATATAGATTTAAAATCGATTATTTTTTTTGAAAATAGCCTACTATGATCAAAAACCAAAAATGCTTTAAATTGCATTTTAAAACATATCTAGGTTAAAAAAATGATAAAGAATGCTAATATAGATTTAAAATCGATTTTTTTTTTGAAAATAGCCTACTATGATCAAAAACCAAAAATGCTTTAAATTGCATTTTAAAACATATCTAGGTTTAAAAAATGATAAAGAATGCTAATAAAGATTTAAAATCGATTTTTTTTTTTGAAAATAGCCTTCTATGATCTAAAACCAAAAATGCTTTAAATTGCATTTTAAAACATATCTAGGTATTATAAATGATAAAGAATGCTATTATAGATTTAAAATCGATTTTATTTTTTTTTGAAAATAGCCTTCTATGATCTAAAACCAAAAATGCTTTAAATTGCATTTTAAAACATATCTAGGTATTATAAATGATAAAGAATGCTAATATAGATTTAAAATCGATTTTTTTTTTGAAAATAGCCTTCTATGATCTAAAAGCAAAAATGCTTTAAATTGCATTTTAAAACATATCTAGGTATTTTAAACGATAAATAATGCTATTATAGATTTAAAATCGATTTTATTTTTGTTTGAAAATAGCCTTCTATGATCTAAAACCAAAAATGCTTTAAATTGCATTTTAAAACATATCTAGGTATTATAAATGATAAATAATGCTAATATAGATTTAAAATCGATTTTTTTTTTGAAAATAGCCTTCTATGATCAAAAACTAAAAATGCTTTCAATTGCATTTTAAAACATATCTAGGTTTAAAAAATGATAAAGAATGCTAATATAGATTAAAAATGGATTTTTTTTTTTAAAACAGCCTACTATGATCAAAAACCAAAAATGCTTTAAATTGCATTTTAAAACATATCTAGGTATTATAAATGATAAAGAATTCTAAATAGATTTAAAATCAATTTTTTTTTTGAAAATAGCCTACTATGATCAAAAACCAAAAATGCTTTAAATTGCATTTTAAAACATATCTAGGTTTAAAAAATGATAAAGAATGCTAATAAAGATTTAAAATGGATTTTTTTTTGAAAATAGCCTTCTATGATCAAAAACCAAAAATGCTTTAAATTGCATTTTAAAACATATCTAGGTTTAAAAAATGATAAAGAATGCTAATAAAGATTTAAAATGGATTTTTTTTTTTGAAAATAGCCTTCTATGATCAAAAACCAAAAATGCTTTAAATTGAATTTTAAAACATATCTTGGTATTATAAATGATAAAGAATGCTAATATAGATTTAAAATCGATTTTTTTTTTGAAAATAGCCTTCTATGATCAAAAACCAAAAATGCTTTAAATTGTATTTTAAAACATATCTAGGTATTATAAATGATAAATAATTCTAATATAGATTTAAAATCGATTTTTTTTTTTGAAAACAGCCTGCTATGATCAAAAATCAAAAATGCTTTAAATTGCATTTTAAAACATATCTAGGTATTATAAATGATAAAAAATGCTAATATAGATTTAAAATCGATTTTTTTTTGAAAATAGCCTACTATGATCGAAACCAAAAATGCTTTAAATTGTATTTTAAAACATATCTAGGTATTATAAATGATAAAGAATGCTAATATAGATTTAAAATAGATTTTTTTTTTCATATTCACACAAAATTTTCAATTTTTGTGAATATGCTTTTAAGAAAATTTTCTTTATTCTGTTAAATGTGCTTTTATTTATGATCGATTCTCTAAGGAATTATTCACCTATTTACCATCATAATACAGTTGATAATTTTTTCCATTTTTTTCTTATTAAATTGTGTTAAATTATTGTTTATTTGTTAGCTAATGGCGGCTTTGAAGTAACACTTGAGGATGAGGTTACGGCTCTAATGCAGCAAGTGGCTGATTTAAAGCTTCAAAATGAAACATTGGGAGTTCAATTAGCCCAATGTGCGCAGCTTCTGCCTCAAATGTCTGATAATGATCCAGTTGGAAGAAAGCCAGCGACGTTAATCTTCGCAAATGAAAAATTTAAATTCGAAAAATAATTGGTAAGGCTAATGAAATTTTTTTTATTTTTTGACTTTATTATTTATTAATTTTTTAATCTATTTACAGCGGACTAATGCGCAACCTGAGGAAATAAGAGAAAAATTAAAGTTAGTATTGACTGAATTTGAAGAGGCAAAGAATTCGGAAGTGGAAGTCCGAAGAGGAAAATCACTGTTATATGCTTTGGCGAAAGACGGCTATAATGAATATTGCGGACAGAAAGCTAGATTTCTCGATGGCCTTGACGCAGTTGGGAGTGCTGAATTTATAGAAATTTAATTTTTAAAAAAAATACAGATTTAAAATCAATTTGTCCGTTAATTTTAACCAATATTTTTATTTGGGACGTAGGCACTCAACATTTTCACTTATTAAATATTTACTCGTTATTTTAACATATTCTTTGTATGTTTATTTAAAACAACAGTAAGTTCAGTTTAATAATTCTTAGTTTTAATCAGTTTTAATATAAAGAGAAAGCAAAGATAATTAATTTAATCAAAAACTTCTTATTTTAGATCATGGACAAACTAATTTCACTTCCGGATGAAATATTAGTAAAATGCTGCGATCTACTATCATTTAAAGATTTACTTAATTTATCACTCATTTCAAAAGACTGGTTTCATTTCATTGGTAACACAAACGAAAGTTTAAATAGAATAATATTGGTTTATTCTGAATGGAATAGAGACGCAATTTTAAATTCTTTGAACATTAGACCGTATAACCATGCAAGAATTGAATTGAGATCCTCATTAGATGATGAGAGCATGCGAAATTTGAAATATTTTATCGATAGTTTATCATGCAATTAAGTGGTGAAATGGCATCAGTGGCCTAAATGGTAGAGCGTTGGCCTTCTGTGCCAAAGGTCCTGGGTTCAATCCCAGGCCATGTCTAATTTTCGAAGCTTTTTCCATTTCACCGTTCTAGTTACGAAGCTCGGTTCGTGTGTTGGGTGTAGTTTTGAGGTCTTTGGCACAGAATATGCCTCCTTTGCTAGGTATACAAGGATATACTAGCATCTGGATGACTTCCTTACGGCATCTTGCGCACACGAATTGTGACTAGGTACATTGCAGGGTACATCAGGTCTTATGACGTACTCGTGTCTTTACAATGTGCAGAGCTTGCAAGTGGTTCGGATCCCACTATAAACTGTAGGTCTAAAGGGTGTGGTACAATAGATTCTGTTCTAATTTGAATCGCAGTGCCTCCAGCTGAAAGGCTGGGCCCTTCACACATTATTATTATTATTATTATTATTATCATGCAATTTGACCAGCATTGCAACAACCATAGATATACCGTTCATATTAAGTTTACCAAAATTAAAGAGACTTAATTTCTATTGCTTGGATGAACTTCATAAAGGAAGCTTTCATTTTGAAAAGTGTGGGCTTCTCAGCAAGTCAACATCATTAGATGAACTCAGTATCGGTGATTCGTGTGATTTAGTTTTATCACACATTGATGAATTTCTACAAAACTTAAAATTTCTGAAGAATTTAAGCGTACACAACACTTCATTTTTGAACGAATATACAGCCAACAGATATCAATTCTCTTTATTATGTTTCTCTTTTACTGCACACACTGCTGTGCCAATGTATTTACAATTTTTTTTAAATGACCATCGAAAGAGTATCGAAAAACTTCAATATGGACCTGTTTTAAGTTATCATGAGTTGAGAACACTTTTATCATTCCCAAACCTCAGTGAACTAAAATTGTTGCGAATTTCGTTTGAGGCTAAAGAGCATCAAAATTATCCAGTTAACTGCTCAATATCCTCCCTAGAAATTGAAGGTCATTATAAGAATGCTGATGATTTAAATGTCGTGATAAATAATTTACTTTATGTTCTTAAGCATTTAAAATTTCTTACACTTTCACATTTCGATGGCAACATTCTTGAATCTGTCTTCACTAGCAAATCGTTGCGAAAAATTAAATATTCCTCAATTCATAATGTATCTACGCACCAAAAGATAAGGATGATGATGAGCAGAAGGATACTTTTTTTATGCAATCAATTTTAACGCGATTTGTTTTTTAATACTAGTAAAGTTCAATATCATGTTCACACAATTTATGTTTAAGATTAACGATAATCAATTAATAATTCAAAAAAATAAAATATTTCATGTTTTTAAAAATATAATAAAAAAAATAATTCATCAGAGAAGATCTTTCAATATTTTCTGAACAATACATAGAGAGTTCTATAGGATTGTGTGAATATTCCCATGAAGCCTGATCGGCTTCATTACTAGTTTTTTTTTTTTGAAAATAGCCTTCTATGATCAAAATCCAAAAATGCTTTAAATTGCATTTTAAAACATATCTAGGTATTATAAATGGTAAATAATGCTAATATAGATTTAAAATCGATTTTTTTTTGAAAATAGCCTTCTATGATCAAAAACCAAAAATGCTTTAAATTGCATTTTAAAACATATCTAGGTATTATAAATGGTAAATAATGCTAATATAGATTTAAAATCAATTTTTTTTTGAAAATAGCCTACTATGATCAAAAACCAAAAATGCTTTAAATTGCATTTTAAAACATATCTAGGAATTATAAATAATGAAGAATGCTAATATAGATTTTAAATCGATTTGTTATTTTGAAAATAGCCTACTATGATCGAAACCAAAAATGCTTTAAATTGCATTTTAAAACATATCTAGGAATTATAAATAATGAAGAATGCTAATATAGATTTAAAATCGATTTTTTTTTGAAAATAGCCTTCAATGATCAAAAACCAAAAATGCTTTAAATTGCATTTTAAAACATATCTAGGTATTATAAATGATAAAGAATGCTATATAGATTTAAAATCAATTTTTTTTTGAAAATAGCCTACTATGATCAAAAACCAAAAATGCTTTAAATTGCATTTTAAAACATATATTGGAATTGAAAATGATAAATAATGCTAATATAGATTTAAAATCGATTTTTTTTTTTGAAAAAAGCCTTCTATGATCAAAAACCAAAAATGCTTTAAGTTGCATTTTAAAACATATCTAGGTATTATAAATGATAAAGAATGCTATATAGATTTAAAATCAATTTTTTTTAAAAGCCTTCTATGATCAAAAACCAAAAATGCTTTAAATTGCATTTTAAAACATATCTAGGTATTATAAATGATATATAATGCTATATAGATTTAAAATCGATTTTTTTTTGAAAATAGCCTTCTATGATCAAAAACCAAAAATGCTTTAAATTGCATTTTAAAACATATATTGGAATTGAAAATGATAAATAATGCTAATATAGATTCAAAATCGATTTTTTTTTTGAAAATAGCCTGCTATGATCAAAAACCAAAAATGCTTTAGATAGCATTTCAAAACATATCTAGGTATTATAAATGATAAAGAATGCTATATAGATTTAAAATCAATTTTTTTTAAAAAGCCTTCTATGATCAAAAACCAAAAATGCTTTAAATTGCATTTTAAAACATATCTAGGTATTATAAATGATAAATAATGCTAATATAGATTTAAAATCGATTTTTTTTTTGAAAATAGCCTTCTATGATCAAAAACCAAAAATGCTTTAAATTGCATTTTAAAACATATCTAGGTATTATAAATGATAAAGAATGCTATATAGATTTAATATCATTTTTTTTAAAGCCTTCTATGATCAAAAACCAAAAATGCTTTAAATTGCATTTTAAAACATATCTAGGTATTATAAATGATAAATAATGTTAATAAAGATTTAAAATCGATTTGTTTTTTTGAAAATAGCCTTCTATGATCAAAATCCAAAAATGCTTTAAATTGCATTTTAAAACATATCTAGGTATTATAAATGGTAAATAATGCTAATATAGATTTAAAATCGATTTTTTTTTGAAAATAGCCTTCTATGATCAAAAACCAAAAATGCTTTAAATTGCATTTTAAAACATATCTAGGTATTATAAATGGTAAATAATGCTAATATAGATTTAAAATCAATTTTTTTTTGAAAATAGCCTACTATGATCAAAAACCAAAAATGCTTTAAATTGCATTTTAAAACATATCTAGGAATTATAAATAATGAAGAATGCTAATATAGATTTTAAATCGATTTGTTATTTTGAAAATAGCCTACTATGATCGAAACCAAAAATGCTTTAAATTGCATTTTAAAACATATCTAGGAATTATAAATAATGAAGAATGCTAATATAGATTTAAAATCGATTTTTTTTTGAAAATAGCCTTCAATGATCAAAAACCAAAAATGCTTTAAATTGCATTTTAAAACATATCTAGGTATTATAAATGATAAAGAATGCTATATAGATTTAAAATCAATTTTTTTTTGAAAATCGCCTACTATGATCGAAACCAAAAATGCTTTAAATTGCATTTTAAAACATATATTGGAATTGAAAATGATAAATAATGCTAATATAGATTTAAAATCGATTTTTTTTTTTGAAAAAAGCCTTCTATGATCAAAAACCAAAAATGCTTTAAGTTGCATTTTAAAACATATCTAGGTATTATAAATGATAAAGAATGCTATATAGATTTAATATCATTTTTTTTAAAGCCTTCTATGATCAAAAACCAAAAATGCTTTAAATTGCATTTTAAAACATATCTAGGTATTATAAATGATAAATAATGTTAATAAAGATTTAAAATCGATTTGTTTTTTTGAAAATAGCCTTCTATGATCAAAATCCAAAAATGCTTTAAATTGCATTTTAAAACATATCTAGGTATTATAAATGGTAAATAATGCTAATATAGATTTAAAATCGATTTTTTTTTGAAAATAGCCTTCTATGATCAAAAACCAAAAATGCTTTAAATTGCATTTTAAAACATATCTAGGTATTATAAATGGTAAATAATGCTAATATAGATTTAAAATCAATTTTTTTTTGAAAATAGCCTACTATGATCAAAAACCAAAAATGCTTTAAATTGCATTTTAAAACATATCAAGGTATTATAAATAATGAAGAATGCTAATATAGATTTTAAATCGATTTGTTATTTTGAAAATAGCCTACTATGATCGAAACCAAAAATGCTTTAGATTGCATTTTAAAACATATCTAGGAATTATAAATAATGAAGAATGCTAATATAGATTTAAAATCGATTTTTTTTTGAAAATAGCCTTCAATGATCAAAAACCAAAAATGCTTTAAATTGCATTTTAAAACATATCTAGGTATTATAAATGATAAAGAATGCTATATAGATTTAAAATCAATTTTTTTTTGAAAATAGCCTACTATGATCAAAAACCAAAAATGCTTTAAATTGCATTTTAAAACATATATTGGAATTGAAAATGATAAATAATGCTAATATAGATTTAAAATCGATTTTTTTTTTTTGAAAAAAGCCTTCTATGATCAAAAACCAAAAATGCTTTAAGTTGCATTTTAAAACATATCTAGGTATTATAAATGATAAAGAATGCTATATAGATTTAAAATCAATTTTTTTTAAAAGCCTTCTATGATCAAAAACCAAAAATGCTTTAAATTGCATTTTAAAACATATCTAGGTATTATAAATGATATATAATGCTATATAGATTTAAAATCGATTTTTTTTTGAAAATAGCCTTCTATGATCAAAAACCA